CCAGTAGTGATTTATTTATTGTAAAGCAAATTAAAAGCGTGTGCAGACTAAGGGAAATGGATCCTTGGAGAGCCCACATTATTCTTATTAGCTCCCTCACACAGTCTCTCATGGCACTGTAGACCTGTTGGCATTTCATCTGAAAGATAATATTGGACTGCATTCACCAACAAAAGACTAAAAGTTGTAATGCCAGACTGTGGGAGGCAGAGGCGTGAGGACTGCTTGAGCCCAGGAGTTCAAGACCAGCCTAGACAACATAGTAAGACCTCTCTCTACCAAAAAAAAACAATTAGCCAAGCATGGTGGCATGTGCCTGTAGTCCCAGCTATTCGGAGAGCTGAGACGGAAGGATTGCCTGAGTCCAGAAGGTCGAGGCTGGAGTGAGCCATGATTGTGCCACTGCACTCCAGCCTGGTTGACAGTGAACTATGACTCAAAAATAAAAATAAAAAAATTCAAGAGTAGAGAAATTATCAGTGGTGATAAACACCAAAATAGTGATTAACTTGACATGGAGTGGGGAATGGGAAGAATCGGCAGGAAAGGGGCACAGTGTCACCTAAACGTGTGTGTTCTCATGAAACCACTGGACCAAGATACAGAGCTCCTGGTTTATTCCAAAGGCTTCTGTAGGTCGGGGGTTTGGTTGTAAGAGGGGAAAGAGTATACACCCACACATGCACGCATACACACACGCACACACACACATTCATGAAGCTATACGCTTAAGGTTTGTATACTGCATGCACTTTGTCTACTTAAACCTTTAAAAAATAGTAAATGTGAATAAATAAATAAAAATGGGTGCACATTAGAAGCTTAAGTCCCAATTACCCAACTCTGGATTACAAAGGCCTAAGAAATAAGTCTATGAGTCAATTCATACTCTCATGTTATCCCACCAAAAGATTGTCTCCCAATGGGTGTGTGGTCTTCCAAATTTGTAAAACATCAAAGGTTTTGACAGTCATACTTTTGAAAAATCTAGTGGCTCAAACCTTTTACCCATGCTTGCTTTGTATGAAATATCTAAGAATCATGATAATGTTCTTTTTTATATGGAAACAATCTCTGTAATTTGTTGATTCTAAGATGCACATCATTTTCTTATCTCAACACTCCAAATTATGATGTCTTTTACAGTTAATCAATGGTGTATCATTCTTTAATTGGCAGCATCTTTTACTTCTTAATCATGTATAAAATTCAGTGAAGTTAGATTTACAGACTTATTTCCAAAGTTTTAGTCTTTTGCAACATACATTACACATACTTATGAGCTCACATATGCAATATTCGTTCATTCTTTGTCCACTGGAAAGAATAACGGATGCATAAAATGATGGATTTCATGTAATACAAATGAACATTGTTGTTATATTTTTAAAGGATTCATGAACCCCAAAGCCTACAGGAGCCAGACAGGGAATAAACAAGTGACACAGGCCAGGCAGCAGTGCTCAGGTCACGTGAGTGATGGGCATCACAAAAAGGCAGCTGTGCAGGAATGCTGATGTGGTTTTGCCAGATCTGCTAATTTTTTGAGAGAAGCCAGATCCAGTTTATTGCATGAAATGTCCTGATCTGTAAATGTTAGCTCAATTAGAAGCCATGTCTGTAAGCTGGAGCTAGCCCCAGGATGCCAGTGTGTGACCTTTGGCTGGATGTAAGCTCTGTGAGAGCAGGAATCTTTTTCTGTTTTGTTTGATGGTATCATAAATATGTAGAATGGGATTAGGTATAGAATAGGTGCTGAATAAATATATGTTATATGAATACATAAAGCTAGCATGAAATCCCTCTGACCTACTCAGAACAATAGTGAGTTAGAAATACATCGAATGTTTTTAAATGCTATTTCTAATAGTAGCAAGAATCCATTTTTAATTAACTCGAGTAAGTTTATTTTATACCTGATATGTTTGGAAATGTTTAAGGGAAAATTTCTATGTGGCAGAAAGTCTCTTCATGTTTTGCCTAATTCCTGCTTAACCTTCCGATCTCAGCCCATGTCCTTTCTCTGGATGTCCCTTTCCTAAGAGCCCTGCTCCCCTTTCCCACCATCTTGTCCTGGCTCCTGAAGCATGCTGTACTTGTCTCTGCCATACCCTTTCTCCTCATCTCCCCGTTGTGTGCACTGAGACACCCATCTTTTTATCTGGGGGCTACAAGCTTCCTGAGGGCAGTGGGTGTCAGACTTCGTATCTCTTGGCATAGAGTACATGGTCATCAAATGTGTATTAATTGTTTTTGTGGTAGTGACTTGTAAAAGTAAAGAACCATGAAGTTTCCTCCACTACCGTGCTTTTTTTCTTCCAGACTATTTTTCGGTTTGCACAAATGCTCTACTGTTACCCCAATTCTATATTTAACAAATATGCCTGGAACCTCTGTTAGGACAAAGTCACAACTCTGACCTGCAGAGATTCACAGTCTGGGTAAACAGACATACATGAGTAATTGTGTATTAAGTTCCATAATATAGGGAAGATGTGCTGTGAGAATATGCAGGGCATTCATTATGGCTTAGGAAGTCTGGGAAGCAAAGGATGCAAATCCACGGTGAGCATCAGGGGAGAATTTTGTCCTGCACAGGGAGTAGCTCTCAGAGCAGCTACTTCACTTAACAATCCATGGGTTGCAGAATGGGTCCTGCATGTCACGGGGCCACTCTCCCATGCACAGGACCTCCGTGCCTGACAGGAAAGTCATTGATGACTTCCTGAAGGTGGGGAGGGACAGAAAATACAACAAAGGAGAGGTCAAGGAAGGTAGTAGGTGCTCACTTCTCATTCAGATGATAAGAACTGGAACTTAAGAAAGCATGCTTTTTCAAGATTGTAGAGACTACATTTCAAAATCAGAAGGCAAGGACTCCTGGAAGGCAGGAGTACAAGATAGCGAAAAGATAACTATTGGAATAAGATCAATTGGGTCATGGATGCACATGAAGTGTCACAAGAAAGAGGACTTTGGAATAGTCTCAAAGGAGTACATGTTAAATGCAGGGAACCAGCTGTCTTAATGAAAGGGTAAGATTTGCCACAGCTTAATCTTTATCCTGGTGCCATTTGGGAGCCATTGTAGACAAATATGCATGTGTATTCTGCACTCCAAAAAGGATCAGAGGCAAAACCCACTAAAGAAAACCGAACAGATGTCTAGGAATTAGATTTCATAACATTTTGTAATGTAATTCTAATACTTTTATTTCAGAAACAAAAGAGTGAAGCAAGCATGTTTGCTGATTCATTCCCTCAGTAAGTCATTGAGGGTTACCTACTAAGTGTAAGGCACTGATCTAAAGATTAAAATATGTTTAATTGCACCCCTAGCTCCTCACTCCCACTTGGGTCCTTTTTCTGGAAGAGTAGAAACACAGGCAATAGTATCTATTGCTAGAAAGACTTGAGCTGTTCATTTGCTAACCAGGGCAGCTTTAACAATCAAACTACCACCTTTTTACCCCCAAATAATTCTTAAGAGTTTGTCGTTCATAATGTGAGCCTAACCAGAAATGGCCTCTTTATTCTTTTAGACTCATAAATCTTGGAGACAAAGTATGGTGTTGTGTATGTGAATACATTTTCATTAGTCACACTTTGCATATGAGTGGATACCATGCAAATAAGTGTATACATTAAAATTGGACCGCACTTACAGAGATTTAATAATTCATCCCACTGCTTCTGCAAATAAAAGAACCAAAGCCCCATTTATGCAATTGCTAAAATATGGCAGATAATGATGCATTTGTGTTTAATACTGCTAATAAATTTTAGAGTTCACATTTTTATTGATAAACATTTTCTTGAAATGCAGTCTAGGAGGACAGATTGTTAAATTTAAGTACTTTATAAATAAGAATTATAGATAGCGATGTGATCAGTGGCAGTGCTGTGTCAAGAGTATCTACCAACTTACCTGCACTCCACCAAGCACCCAGTAGTGATTTTCGTATTTCACTTTTATGTGCAATCAAATTGCCCACAATTTTAGGGAAAAAAATTAGTGTGGTAACAGAGTAATGATCATAGTAAATATTGTGCTTCTCCTGTTGACTTAAATTACATACTTAGAATATTTCAGAAATATATTTCTTTAGTCTAGCTTTAATATATGGAAATATTTTGCCTATAGAATTTGTGTATAAAAGAAATATTTAAGTCTCTTATTAAGATTATCTCCTTGACACACATAAGAAAGGTTGTATAGTCCAGACAGTTCGAGGTCTAAAATATTTTTATTCATGAAAGCCATAAAATTGTATTAATATTTCCATCTACACAGGTTTTAATGAAATACTGTATAGCTCAGGTTACCCCCCAAATTATTTTTCCTTTTTGGGCACATTTTCCCTAAAATTTCAGAAAAAATTATTTGCAAGAAATGAATTTATACCTTATAAGTAATATTCCAAAATTCATCTTAACATAACATAGCAAGCTAACATATATTTTCATAATAAAAATTTTGCCATATTTAATTATTCTACAAAAGTCTTAGTGTTCTTTCTGCTGATTGCTCTCTGAATTGATTGGAATGTGTGATTTTTCTGAATTTTATTTTGTGTCTTTGCTGGATGTTATGTCTCATTCTTTTTTCTCATGAAGATTCCAGAAGCTTATTTTATTAGAGACCCCCACACTTTCCTTCTTACAGAGGACTTTATTAAGGTATCTGTGTTGTATTTGCTGTGAAAGTGTTATTTGGTCTTTAGCTGCATGCGTGTATTCACAGGTTAGCTTTTTCACATTTAACCCCAGCTTCTGGAAATCAGAATAGTCATTTGGTTAACTGAGGCATGTTTGGAAGGAGAAGCAAAGCTTGTCTCCAAAATACTAACACCTGGATGATTCTGCACCCTGAGAAAAGAGCACCCAGTGAATTTTCTGGACTTGTTTCATGGCTGACTTGGGATACACTTGCATTGTCAAAGAGTGTGTCAGCCTCCCTCTTTGGCATATTGATTATGACATTCCCCCTCTCCCCTTCAGGCCCTGGAGGCACAGATACAGAACTTTGGACAGACGCCATCTCAGTTGCTTATCGAGCCACACCCGCCTCGGAGCTCTGCCATGCACCTGGTAAGACGGCTTAGCATGTCGAGCCTTTTTTTTTTTCTTTCCTCTGTCCCTGGTATAGAGCAAGTAAACGCATGACTTTAGCAGCATATTTTAAAAGGCTTCTCAATTTATTGGTTAACTCTTCGGCCTAAGTACATACTGATACCCCCGGGAGCCGCAGAGAAGGAAATGTAATTCTCACTTTTTAAGTCCTGCTTAAGCTTGCCCGGTTCTGGATTCACAAAAATAGCCACCTTCTCCATGTATGCTGCTGTGTAAATTCATTCACACACTTACAGGCACAGAGACACACACTGGCACCAAAATTAGATTCAGTTTTTAAATTGCAGTAAAAAATCAATTGTAAACACAATGCCAAATTGGAAGGCAAGGTAGAGGAGGGGGAGTAGTTAGGGGGTTTTTGTTTTTGTTTTTTTTGAGTTGGAGTCTCACTCTGTCGCCCAGCCTGGAGTGCAGTGGCCACTCCTGGCCACCGCAGCCTCGACCTGCTGGGCTCCAGCAGTCCTTCTGCCTCAGCCTTCCAAGTAGCTGGAACTACAGGCGCACACTACCACGCCTGGCTAATTTTTTTTTTATTTATTGTAGAGATGAGGTCTCACCAAGTTGCCCAGGCGGGTCTCAAACCCACGGGCTCAGGCAATTCACTCACCTCAGCCTCCCAAAGCAAAAGATTACAGGCTGAGCCACCGAACCTGGCAGTAGTTAGTTTTAAGAAAAGAAATATCAAAGTAATTTATGGCCACTGCAGTGAGGCTACTAAACAGAGTGGCTAGGAATAAGGGCCCCAGAACCAGATGTGGGCCAAACACTACCTCTCCACTACCCAGTAAAAGACCTGGGCCAGCTATTTAAACTCTCTGTGTTTTGGTTTCGGCATCTGTAAAAATAGGGGTAAAAATAGTACCTACCACGGAGAGTATGATGCGCAATACCATATAGCACTTAGTCCAGCACCTATCATACAGTAATTCTTAGTAAATGTTAGCTGATGTCATCATCATTATCTGTTTGTATTAAACCTGTTATTTCCACTTTACAAGGGAAAAAGTCACATTTTCTTCATTTTAATCTGAATTTTAAAAGTCCATTTTCATAATAAAGCAGTCTCTTTTTAGTTTGTTAGCAAGTAATAAACATGATCCTTTTCACTGTATTCGAAGAATTTTCTGAGTTAGTTCCTTAGACTTATTTTTAAAGCTGTGTTTTTTTAACTAATTTTTTTACTGAAGTAAAAAATGATTGAAGGGAAAAACATATTTACAAAATGAATTACAGTTCGATAAATTTTCTAAGCCATTATCAAGGCAATGAGTACTTTAATTTTGGAGTAATGATCCCTGGAATATAGCCCATAATATATCTGTAAACAAATTTATGTTATTTCATGATGGAAGTCATGTTCACACCTTTCATTTGTTCTATCAGTTATATAACAAATTTTTATTGAGTCCCTTCTGTGTGTCACATCCGATCCCAAGCACTGGAGGTACAGTGACACATATATCCTCTATACCTGCAAGGAATCCATAGTCAAACTCCTGAGAAGTGAATAAGTAGATGTGTTTCTTTTTAAACCTTTTTTTCTTTCTACAACTTTTTGGGCCAAACAATTTCAGCCCCTTGTTAGTCACTAGTGAACTCTTTTGACTAGCAGTTGGTCCTTCTACAGGACATAGCAGAAAGGTCTGCACCCAGCTCAAGCTATTCCCATGTAAACCCTCAGCCACGGGTAGACACAGAAATGTGACCTTGGCGCCTCAAGCCTTGAGATGAAGCCTTTTTAATAAACTGTCCAGGAAAATATCTCTAACACTTTACTTTATGAAATGGTTTGGCAGAAGAGTTTTATTCCCGTGTTAGTTTTCTCTGTTTAATAATAATAATAAAAATATTTATCCTGGAGAAATGCCCAGTCAGAATTCATTACTTTCCTAGGGGAAATTGTTAGAGACTAAATTGGTATGGAACTGTTTATAAAGCAAGTCTAAGCCTTCTAAGTTCATGTAGCAGAGAATTCATATATACAGCAAACAATCGCAAAACACGTATGAAAGCAAAATGGTTGTTTCCAGAATTCCTATTTTCTTTTTAATGTGGTAGTATTTATCATGTTTTGTGGGTCTTATAGTATCTATTTTCTAGCAAGTCATATGCTAGATGCTTGAGAAATAAAGGTTGAAAAAAGAAAAAGTGTTGGCCCCCAGTAAGCTCACATGCTAGGAGAACGGAGACATCAACTATAAAGAGTGCCAGAGCAGGACTGGAGGGGGCACTGAGACTGCCTTGGGGAGGGTGTTACATTTTAATTATTTAGACTGTAGTTGTGACTTAGATCAACCCAGTAGAAATGAAAGCACTAGTCAGTTCCCTTTATATTTCATGCAAACAGTGGCACTCGCTGATTTGCCTAATTTTCCCACCAAGCGGATTTTTGTACCCGCATTGTAATTGTATCACATCACGTGAGTGTGTGTCTATGAGCTAATTTTTCACATTGCATTCTGTCAATATTTGGATTGAGGCTGGTCGTTCATGACTCTGTGCCCCTGCGTCGTGGACTGCACAGAGTCCTGGCGCCGTGCTGCCTGTGCCATCCTTAAGTCAAAGCTGTGTTATTTGGGTCAGTATGGAAAAGGCCGCTTGTCCTCCTTGTGTGGCTCGTGCTAGCCTTGCCTGTTTACCCCGTTCTCCCCAGGCCAGACCTCTCACTAACGCTATCTCTCCTTTTGTTTCCCCCTGCTCTCCTCCCTTTCTATTCAACAGTGTTTCCTTCCACAGAGTCCGCTCATGTTTAAAGATCAGATGCAGCAGGATGTGATCATGGTGCTGAAGTTCCCCTCGAATTCTCCGGTGACCCATGTGGCAGCCAACACACTGCCCCACCTCACCATCCCCGCTGTGGTGACAGTGACCTGCAGCCGGCTGTTTGCTGTGAATAGGTGGCACAACACAGTAGGTATGTGGATCCAAGTGAATCACTTACTCAAGCTTTCTTAAAAGCTGCCGTTGAGTTAAGGTCAACAAGCATGATGGGGTTAGCTCCTAGGCCACGTTATCTACAAAAAACATCAGAATCGGTCAGCGATTGTCGAACCTAACCAGATGGCTCTTAACTGTCTACTCACCTCTGCTGCTTGTTATGCCCCCCAGGATGCTTGATTTACAGTTAAGTACTCAGATATTTGACAGATGGAAGCAGTTTTACATATAATTGATGTCCTCTCACCCTATCCTGCCACTGACCCCACCAACTCACCTGTATCCTATGGTAAACAAAAGTGAGTTTGAATCCGAATTGTCTGGATGATGGCTTTAGATCCACTTTCTTCCACATCAGGAATTTATTTAGCAAATATTTGCATGGCTAATATGGATCGAATGGTCCTAAGTCCTGGGATGACAGCAGTAAACAACACAAACACGATCTCTATCTTGTGGAGCTTAGAGTCTTTGTGGAATGACAGAATCTAAATTGTTCAGTGATTTCACGCGTGTTGTCTCCAGACTCATTCCTGAAAGTTCCAGTCAGTACATCTTGAAGTGATATAATGCTGTCACAAAAATTTAGACCTATTGATACGTACTCAATCAGGGCGGAAGTGGATGGGACAGAATGATTTAATTGGCTTAATTCACCACTCAAGATCTTCCTGGAAGCCCCAGGAATCCCACTGTCTGCAGAATGTATAGATGAGCCATGCTGCATTAACCTGAATCTTTCTCGTCTACTGATCTCTATATTGCTCCGAAAAATACAGTGATTTATACCATAGCTTTGTCTCCTAGGACTGTCTAAATGTACCTATTTTATGGTTTTTGGTGATACTATCAAAAGGAAGTCGCACTACTTCCATTCATCAGGAAAATGCAGCCAACATCTAAAGGGAACATCATGACATTGTTATATTCAAAGGAGGCTTAACCCCTAGAAGTGTTTTGCATTGAGAAAAAAAAAGCTGTAAAAGACAGAATTTTTCTTCAAAATTGTTCAAAAGTATTATATATATTATATAATCACGTGTGAAAAATTAGGACTAATGAACTTGATCAAGCCGTAAACCTTAATCCTCTGAAAGTAGCTTTTAGTGAGATTAAGATTTTAGGTGTGGCCCAATTTTACACCTTCAATTTACTTGTCATCTGTTGAAAGAGGGCCCCCTTGGATGGGAGCCCCCCCCCCACCTCGGCCCCACCCCAGGTGAGCCCGGGCTCATTCCCATCCCTGCTTGTGGACACAGCCTTTTCTTTCTTTTCAGGCTCAGTGGTTGCTCAGTGACCTTAGCTTTCCGAGGGTTCAGGAAATGTTATGATCTTTCCATTTATGCAGCCTTTTCTTATCCTTGGGACGGAAGCAAGACTCTCTCCGGCTTTCTACATTAAGTGGAATCCTGCAGCCCCTTTTGGGATTTGCCTACAGAGACACATAGAATAATTTACCAAATCATTTTTAAGCAAATATACATTTTGTACAATCATCATAAAACACTGCTCACTAGAGTCCTCCTTTCTGAGACTTTTATGGTAGTTTTTCTCCTTTTAAAAATGTTTTATGGTAGTTTTTCTCTTTTTTTTTTTAAACCTCTAATCTTTTTTTTTTTTATTGTAGGCCTCAGGGGAGCTCCAGGATACTCCTTGGATCAAGCCCATCATCTTCCCATTGAAATGGATCCATTAATTGGTATGCTAGCAAACAAGAATTAGCGTTCATGGATACTGACTGTTCACAGATTCTTATATTAGTATTTTTCACGAAAGATAACTTAATAACATTTTTCTGCCACAAAACTAATGTGCAGATAGTATCAAGTAGCCATCAAGGAGCTGTGCCAATCGTAATACGTCATCTAAAAACTTTTTGTTATTAAAGCAATTTTTTGTGGCATGTTCTTGATATTTTAGGGATCATTTAAGCTGGTTATAAGTAAGGCAAATAATTCCAATCTGCCTTCCCCTAAAATGTTCTTTAACAACTTTCTATTAGTTAAAATACAAGGATTCAAAGAGATGATTAAAGGTAACCAGTACTGAAGTTCACCTTTCCTAGAGGTCTCTGTTCAGTCGGGCTGTACAAGTTTAAAGTCAAGATTTCACATGAATTACTTATGAGCTGTAATTCTTTGCAGGAAATATTCAAAATATGTATTTTAAAATAATACTGTTCACACTTGTTAGCTATATGATTCAGAGCCAGCTTCTTAATCTTTCTAGGCCTTTCAGTTTCCTTTCTGTGAGATGATTTATAATAATGTTTGTTCTACCTAGCTCATTAAATTAGAAAATAAAATGAAAAAGCTGTGAAAAATTATTAGGCTATGTATCTGTTCTAAGATAAATTTGCCCTTCATCTTTGAACCCAGAAATAAGATACAGCCACTTTGGTTAGTTACTTATACGCTTGCATGAAATAGCATTTATATGTCTTTGGGAGGACATAAGGTTTAGGACTAGGAATATTATTAGAGTCTAGCTTAGTTATTCCTCTTCCTAACAGACACTGACAATGAAATATACAGCTAGTGTGTAAGCATGGAAAAATTAACAGCTCTATTCCCATTAATCAAGGACCCAGCTATACAGTTTTCAAGTGACCCAGTACCTTAGGTTTTTCTTTTTCCTTACTGTCTTTTTTTCTTTTTTTGGTTTAATTTTTTGTTACTGCTTACATTTCCTAATCATTATTTTGATAGTGTCAGTAGATACCTACAAATAGCAGTGCTTAGATTTAATGGGTGTTAGAGTGGTGGTGGTAACCTCTGCATCTGCATTTTCTGTTTAAGAATTCAGCCTAGGGATTTGTCCTGAAAGGACACATGGAGTAAGGGACAGGCTGGCATGCAGACAGGCACTGGGGAAATCAGAGGGTGTCTCTAAGTTCCTGGTTTATTCAGATGCAGTCCCAGTGCTGTGCACTGATTCCTGGCCTGTCTCTCTCCTCCCCGGCCCCTCTCCCCTCTTTTGTGTTCTTCTCCTCCCCTGCCAGCCCATTCTGGAAAGGCCTTCTGTTTGTTGACAATCCAGGTCTTTAAAGCTGCTGACCTAAAGCTCCCTGTGGGCTTCCCACACGGTGGCATACCTTGCTTCAGTCTCTGCCCTCCTCTCTCCACAGGATTTGCAGATATTGCCAGAAAAGGGCAGGCTGAGGCAAATGCTAAGATGTTTTTCCTTATATAACATACTTCACATAATATTTATTTCTTATTTGGTTCTTACGAACTAATTAACTTGTTTATAGTAAACGACAATAGGATTAAATGCATTTAAATATGTGTATTATGTTTTACATGTGTTATCTTGGATTCTTCATATTGTTTTATTTATTGGTAGAAGGAGAACTTAAATATCTGGCATAATTTTTAAATATGTAATACAGTTCATAAATAATCACTGCTACTAAGGAAATTTATATTCCTTAAGGGAAAAATCTTAATAATCTTGTAGCATTAAAAACATCTCTAGATAAATAAAGCATAAAAGTATTTTTCTTTTATAAGTACTTGTTAAACTATGGAATCTTTCTTTAAATTCTTTTTTTCTGTTTATTTTTAGCCAATAATTCTGGTGTAAACAAACGACAGATCACAGACCTTGTTGACCAGAGTATACAAATCAACGCGCATTGTTTTGTGGTCACAGCAGATAATCGTTACATTCTCATCTGTGGATTCTGGGATAAAAGCTTCAGAGTTTATTCAACAGAAACAGGTAATCATAACTGTGAAATGCCTTATTCTCTTCAAAGTGGTTTTTGTTACAACCAAAGCTGAATATGAAACCATACTTAACAGTATAGGCATTTTTATCATTTGCCAATTTGAATTGTCAAGATTTAAATTAAATGTTCTCATTGTAAGCTAAATAATTATTACCTAACTGGGCTCGGTGGCTCAGCCTGTAATCCTGCACCTTTGGGAGGCTGAGGTGAGTGGATTGCCTGAGCCCGCGGGTTCGAGACCCGCTTGGGCAGCGAGACCTCATCTCTACAATGAATCAAAAAATCAGCCGGGTGTGGTAGCGCATGCCTGTAATTCCGGCTACTTGGAAGGCTGAGGCGGAAGGATCGCCGGAGCCCAGCAGGCAAGGCTGCGGTGGCCGGGAGCGGCCACTGCACTCCAGTCTGGGCAACCGAGTGAGACTCCAACTCAAAAAAATAATAATGATAATTATAACTTCATCCATTCTGAACTTTAGCATGATCCTTGAGTTCATAGAACAAATGGGGCTATGTCTCCTTCCCCATATGTATATCCAGTGAAAGTCCTTAAACTTAGTCTGGACCAAACCCTGAAGAACTAAGTCATGATTATGCTATTTTCTAAAGTTCTTTCCTTAAAAATCCCAGGTGCCATTCTGGTGTCAGTTTTCAGAAACAATGCAAGAAAGGAACCTGTAGCTAGATTTTGGTTATGTAATAAATGCGTGGGTCTACAGAATCACTTTTCACAAATCTGGCAAAATAAAATATGGTAACATGTTTTAAAATCTGGCTAAATGAAGTTACACTTATTACCGTTTCAAGAAAAAGATTAAATGAAATGAACCTGTCATTTCTGTGTTGCAGGGAAACTTACTCAGATTGTATTTGGCCACTGGGATGTGGTCACGTGCTTGGCCAGGTCCGAGTCGTACATTGGCGGGGACTGCTACATCGTGTCTGGGTCTCGAGACGCCACCCTGCTGCTCTGGTATTGGAGCGGGCGGCACCACATCATCGGAGACAACCCTAACAGCAGTGAGTGCTTCCCCAAAATTGTCCTGTCAGATCATAAGCTTCTAAAAATATGTTTGACCTTTTTTTATTTTCCTACTAGTTTTTCCTGGAATGTAAAGATTTAAAAATATGAAAACTTAAGTAGCAAAAATCTTTACAGGAATGTAACTGTGTTCAAAGTATAAAAATGATCAATATTCTCACTTCAGCCTGGAGATACTTCCAGATTCCCTCACATTAACCCTCTGCTCAGTGGTCTCCCAGTCTCTAAATGTCCCCATCCTTCAGAACTTTCGATCAGTGTCTCCTAGTCCATTAAACTCTGTCTGATTTCTTTCACCCAAACATAATCTTCTTCTCCGAATTTCCATATGATTTCATTTGTGCCTCAGTCTGGGCATTTACTGCTTTCTACCATGTAGCATAGTAAATTTCTCCATTAATTCACTTAGCAAACGATGATTGAATAGCCATTTCAGAATAGGCATTGGGGATGCGAAAACTAAATATGACAGTTTCCCTGTTTAGGTCGATTCCTCAAGTGTTTTTTTATTCCACAGTGATCCAAAGATGTCCTATAGGAAAAAAAAAATAGGGGGACTCCATAATGAAATTATTTTGGAAAACAGTGAGTTAACTGCAGCTCTCTACATGAGCTCTGAAAGTCTTACCCAAATACATCTGTTGCCACTCGTTTAACCCACAGCCTCTCAAACTTCTTCCATGGAACCTTCTATTCTGTAAGAGCAGAGAGTCCTTGGACTGTTGCCCTGACAAAACACTGAAGTAGATCCTTCTTAAGTCTCTGGAATAGTGACACACATAATAGGTTTTCAATAAATGTTGCTAAGTGGCTGAAGAATTGGGTAAGGATTGCCTAGAAATAATTACTGCTTTTGATTACCCAGCCTTCAGGAGTTCAAATGCATGTCTTCCCTGTGAAATATAGAATGGTTTCTGCAAAGTGTTGATAATGGCAAGTACGTAAGCAAGGGTTATTCATATTGTAATTCAAACATCAGTTACAGCTTAAGCAACACTCCAAAATAAACTGAACCACGAGTTTGAGGAATACTTATGACACAGCGGAGATAAGAATTTTCCAGTAAACCTGTGCATTTGCAACTAAAATATTGTAAGAATAGATAGGAAATTTACAAGATGCCATGGTACACTGCCTGCCTGGAGGCTACCTCCCTGGTCAGTGCCAGCCTCTGAGACAGCTGGGAATGGAAACTTGAGTCACACACTGACCCATCAGGTCCCATTTCCTTCCCCCAACTCTTCTGCGTTTTAACCAGGATACTGCAAAAATAGGCAGCTTTTGATGGTAGGAACACAAGGTCCCGTCGTACTACAGGAGAGGATGTAGAAACACCTGTCTGTCTATACTTAAGAAGATAGTAGAAGGCTGAACTAGATGTTAGGTGAAGTTTTGTTCTTGTTGCCCATGGCTAGAGTTGAAGAAGTGGATAAAGGATACAGTAAGATAGAGTAAATAAGTAGATGAACTTATTAGTATTTGGAATATGATATCCATTAATAATATAGAAGTGGTAACCAATTTCTTGAACTGGCAGGAAGTTAAGCAATGCAGAAGATTTCTTCCCTCAAATCTGAAGATTTCTTCCCTCAATCCCACTAAAGTGTGTTGTGAAGTAATAGACATCTCTTGGCTAGATACTGAACTTGAGATAGAGTGTATGTTAGACACAGAAGTTTCTACTTGAAATTGTGAACCAGATGTGATGTCGATTTGAGGGAAGAAATCTTTAGCATTGCTTGACTTCCTGCCAGTTCAAGAAATCGGCTACCACTTCTATATTATTAATGGACATCATATTCCAAATACTTATAAGTTCATCTACTTATTTACTCTATCTAAAATGGTGTTCTTCATCTTGGAGTGCCATAAGGTAAGGAAGTGCTAAAAAAAAAAAATGATAAGGATATATCAAAGGTACACAGGAGCCAACAGAAAGAACTCCCAATACCAAAGGTCAAATAATTTGAGCAAACAAAATAAATAACATAGTATCAGGTTATAACCCAAAATATAAAATAAATATCTATACTAAAAAAATAAAATAAAGTAAAAGTGTTCTTTAAAAAATTCATTTATAGCGGAATTCTTTTTTTGTTGTTTTTTGGGTTTTTTTGAGTTGGAGTCTCACTCTGTCGCCCAGACTGGAGTGCACTGGCACACTCCCAGCCACTAGCAATCCTTCCTCCTCAGCCTTCCAAGTAGCTGGAATTATAGGCGTGCGCTAACACGCCCGGCTAATTTTTTTTTATTTATTGTAGAGACGAGGTCTCGCCAAGTTGCCCTGGCGGGTCTCGAACCCGCGGACTCAGGCAATCCACTCACCTCGGCCTCCCAAAGTGCTGGGATTATAGGCTGAGCCACCGAACCTGGCCTATAGTAGAATTCTAATGTGTCTGTATACACAAATGTGTGTATAAGACATTTGACTTACCAGTGATGACTTTGCTGTTCTCAAGCATGGTACATGATCACATATATTTTATTTAGATGTATTTTCACACATTTCATAGTTTTCTTTATTTCCATAATAGGGTAGCATTTCTTTTAAAAGTTTAATTAGGCAGCAGGTTTGTTTAGTACCTTCCATATATATTGATAAAAAATTAGAAGTTATGAGATAGAAAAAAATTTTAAAGAAACAGAATAGAGCTTTAAATCTAATTAATTACCTTCTTCAAAATGTAGTTCAGAAATGGTGCAAGTGTTATTTCCAAAAATGGGTCTGTTTCTTAAAAGCTGCCATCTGGTAGCAGAGATAAGATGTTTTATATAATGTATTGTGATGAGGTAAAGAATTTCAAAGAAAAATGTTAAATTGTAATCATTATCTGTTAGCTACTTTATTTTCTGGTAATCTTTTCCACCAAATATAGTTAACTGTCAATTATAGCTTTGGTCCATCAGTTAGCAGAAAGAGTTACAGATAATATTATTTAAATTTTAGTTCCTTAAAACAAGAGCTATGTAAATACAAAATGCTTTATATTAATCCTTAAGGACAAAATAGTGTATATTTTATTTGTTAAAATGCAGTGTCTTGTTTGCATTTTAAATAAGGACAGATTATATTTAAGAAACTATGACAGAAGATTATCAATATGGAGGTGTTCAGCATCACCTCCACCTATAGGAATTTAATTTTGGGTCAAAAACTGTACTCATCATCATGAACCTAAATCACTTCCATCAAATTCACACTGTCAAGACTTTATTGACTATTTATTTGAACATATGTAATATAGCTTCCACTATCCTCAGTATAAGGGAAAATGCTCTTCCAGAATAAACAGGATAAACACCTAAAGTATTAGTCAACAGCAAACGTGTGCTGAGTGCCTATTGGGTGCCTGGTACCTTAGTGACTGGAAATGCTAGGGATGGAAAGCGCTGACCTTCTGGAGTTTATAGGGATCCATCTGTGTACTAATAACAAAGCTACTTTTCCTGCAGGGATGTTCTGAAGCTATGGAATATTTATCACATGAATCATGAATTGCTGTCGGATAATGGTTTTTTGTTTTTGTTTTTGTTTTTTGTTTGTTTGTTTGCTTTTACCGTAAGTACTTGGAGCATCCATAAATCACTTTGCCTTACATCTTGGATACAAATTGATTATTATGTAGAAAATTGGTTTCAGCTTTTTGCCATAGGGATAGTCACAGTTGCACACAAATAAATAAATAAGTCAGATTTCGGGTTTGATTGACTTGACTGAATTTATGACTCAATTGTCTGTCAAAGAGCCAGTCTAGTAGCATATAAATGCCTGACTACAGCAACCATATATATTGGTCAGTTCACTTTGTTTAAAGGCAGCCACAGCATACCCTGAACTGACTGTCATATCAGTGATCCCACGGTGGTGTTGACACAGACATACTTGTTGCCATCAGAAAACTCATAATATGAAAGGGAAAGATTTTTTTTTCTGCTGCAGTTTAATCTACTCTAGCTACCAACTCACAGGTCAGGGAATCAGGCTCTATGTGTTTTCTCTCATATAACACATTACTACTCAAGACCAAAACGCTAGTTGTGTCTAAATTTGTATTAAAGTGTGTGCCACAATGCCCTTAGGTTTTGGAGGCTGTATATATTAACCTAGACTTGCAGGGGGAAGTCCTCGCAGAAAGATAATATCCCAGTAGCTGTTGTAGTTCAGGGCTTGGTCGTGGGCTAGACCTGAACTGCTTTGTATGTCAGAGAGGCCAAGTCACACTTGTTCATCACAGCGTCATCGAGGGATAGGGTTATCATTTAACCTCATGTGCACATCACTGAAATCATCTCAAGATAAATTCAAGTGTCTTGCATGTATTTGTTTCTGTTGCCTTGTCATTATGATATAATAATGGATAGCTCTATTAATTCCTCAAAGGAAAAAATAAATGATGGTTATGGATTGTTTTAGTAAGTATAGAAAGAGTCTGTGGTTTCATTGTGTCTGTGGTTTCATTGTGTCAGATACAATTGTGACTAATTTAGACATCTCAGAAATCATAGTCTTTTCTATTTATTTCATCATTTTACTGAATTTGCCAGAAAGATAGTGAAAATTTGTAAACAGAATATTACAAAGAATGTTTCAGACCATAAAAGAAGCAAGCAAATGCTACCTAGCAGAGATTACAGTTGAATTATACATTTTATTAATGTATTTTATAGTAGTAATACTCATTGTTATTCTTCCAAACTTGTGGCTTTGAACATAGAAATTATCTTGGAGACTTTAAATAGGTCCCTAACTAGATAACAGAATTGCAAAGATGTGAGGGACAGATGCTTTCATCTGAAACAGACTTTTACACAAATTCTGAAACTAATTTGGAAGTGATAAAAATTAATTTGCGCACTTTAATTGGAAGCAGCCTACCGCATGAAAGAAAGAAGCACAGCGCAGGCAATCTGAGCGCAAGGCTGATTGAATTTTTTGTCAGGTAGGTGTCTTGGACTTGGCCGCGTATCCTCTTGAGCCTCTCTTTGCAATATATTACAACCCATCTCTACCTGGTGTTCTTTAAAAGGATCAATGCTATTATGTTGAGTCCCTAGAGTCCGAAATTTCATTGATCTTGGGATTTGACATTTCTCATTATGTGCTGTAGCTTCCAACAAGATAGTCACAAGAGGGGCAAGTTAGCATTGTTGTTTCTTCCACAGACACTTAAAATACTTTGGGACCTCAGCTCAAAAGCCAGTCAACGTTTAAAGTATGTAGTCTTAACATTTATACCAGATATAGAAAACTTGACATACATACGTAAGAAATGTTTAAAATCATAGCAATATGGAACTTTGAAAGAGTATTCACTTTTGTTCATCATCTCAAATCACATCTACAGATATTCACTGAGTAATCCACATATGACTTTGCGATTGTGTGTGTCTGTTCCACCTCTTCAAAACAAGGCCTTTAGCTCCTGCACAAGCAGTTTGCAGACCATGAAAGGGAAGCTGGTTGAACAGGGACTCCAGCTGTGCACACACACCTCGGGCTCCCACTGTGTCCGCCTTGGCTCCAGACACTGACCCTCTTGCCAGCCACAGCCTGTTATGAGACATCTGCCACACCACATCCCTGTTTTTGTTTGCACCCAGCCTTCTTTTACAAAGACTATCCCAGTGCCCAGCTCTGTTGTTGTCATTGACCAGTGGTATTGTGAGACATGAATGCATGGACAACAGATAGCCCAGCAGTATTTTTTAAGTAATTTTTATTTATTATATGAGTCTGTCTCACCACAAAGACTCTTCTCCAGGGTTTAGTACATGTCAAGCCATCTTTTTATTCAGATCAGAGGAAATGTAGTTCCATGTGGAGTAATTCCTAGTTCATAGGGCTTTCTGAGGACAAATGGGAATGCATGTGATGGAGCATTCTTCTCACCAGGCTGTCCAAGAGACTGCTCAGCTGTCCCATCCCCTCAGCCTAACATCAGGAGACTGTTGGGTTCATGACTGGGAAGGGAGCTGCTCTCCACCCATCTCTGCTTTTCCTTTCCCTTGTGAGACCGGGACTTCGAGAAGGGTCTTTGACCCGGTAGGAAGCAGTGTCAACAGCAAGCGTGACTGATACGCCTCCTGATCGGAGGGCTCCCAATCACAGACTGGGGTGTCTGGGCTTTGCACAGAGCCCAGCTTGCTGGGGATGGTTCTGTTGGCTGTGTGTAGAAGGTGATGGTAGGACGCCAGTGCACCGTGACTGAGATCTATGTGCAGGTCTTCAGTGAAGAGACTGTCCCGCAGCGGCAGTGCTCAGAAGAAAATGGAGCCAGTGTCGTCTCTGAAGAGGAAAGAAAAGAACATAGAGTGAGTGGATAAATAGGATCATCGTATCTGTCTTCTGTGCTTCTCTGAATATCCTGAGTGTATAAGAAAATGAAACCACATCACGGGCCAGTGTGACCTCTTCCAACTCATTGAGTGTTCTTCCTCGCATCACCCTGTGACCATGGGACACATGGGCCCAGCCATAGTTGGTCCTTGGGCCAGACCTTGTCAGCAGCCCCACCTGGGCTGAAGGACTCAGTGTCTTATTAAGAGCCTTGGCAATGGCACTGTTCTTCTCAGCTGTCCCAGCAAATTTCTCATATCATGTCTTTGAATCTTGAGGTCACGGTAGAAATGAAACTACCGTACCCTTTGGCTGAAACTTTTATTGTGGGCTTTTTAATTTTCTTTATTTATTTTGAGTTAGAGTCTCACTCTGTCGCCCAGGCTGGAGTGCAGTGGCACACTCACGGCCACCGCAACCTTGACCTGCTGGGCTCAGGTGATCCTTCTGCCTCAGCCTTCCAAGTAGCTGGGACTACAGACGCACGCCACCATACCTGGCTAGTTTTTCTGATTTATTGTAGAGACAAGGTCTCACCAAGTTGCCCGGGCTGGTCTCGAACCCCCGGGCTCAGGCAGTCCTCTCGCCTTGGCCTCCCAAAGTGCTGGGACGACAGGCTGAGCCACCGCGCCTGACCGGCTTTTGAATTTTAAGCGTCCATCATATGTAAGTATAAATGTGCATGAAAAAACCGTCCATAATTCAGCACTGACTTCACAAAGGCCAGAGACGAAATCTGAACGTCGTGTGTCAAGAGGTCTGTCCTCTGACTCCCACAGAACGGCAGAGGAACACAGGTCTTATAAACGCCACTGGCTTTGCTCGGCTGTAATTCAGAAGGACATCAGAAGTCCCACAGATAAGACTTAAAAGAAGAACCGTGAGCAATCTTTACTTAAACCATTTCTCTAAAAGCCATGGCCATCTCACTGAGAAAGCACCCATGTCAGTCTGTGTGAGTAGCAGCATCTATAACACGTCCATATTTTTTTCATCATCCGTTTGGGGAATATTGAAATGACTGTTGGTAAATGCGAGATGGAATCTGTTTATTTTAAGCCTTTTGTATTTGGGGTTTCAAAATGCCTGCCTGCAGGGATCTCAAAATTGTGCATATTTGTTCTTTATCATTCCTGATCATTCCAGCACACAGAGCTCCTTGGTGGAGGGGTGGGTAGGGCTGGGGGCAGTCTCTGTGGCTCCAGAGGAGCAGCCTCACCTGCACCTCCCTCTGCCCTGTGCCCTTTAACCCTGGGCCACATCCATCAATTGTGACTTGACAGTGACAGAATGTTCCCAGGATTTTGAGTGATTATTGGGGTGTGTGACATCTGTCCCTGGCAAAGAAATGAAATCTAGGAAATAGGCTTTCCCCTGCCTGCAGGCTTCCCGACTCAAAAAGCCTGGAGTAGCATTTTCTTTCCTTTTCTCTCACTTAAGGAGGGAGACAACATTTTCAGGAGCCCAAAACAATATCCTCTCCTAGTTAAGCTCCACAGTGTATGCAAATGATCTGGAGAAATTGTAATGAAAAAATAAAACATTTTAAACTCTCTAAATCAGACACAAGCCTTTGAGAAATGTATTTCTTAATAGAAAATATAGAATATACGTGAGGAATACTTGTAACATTTTTGTACATTTTTTCTCAATTCTCTGCAATAAGATCAGATTGCTTTTTATTCATTCTATAGCATATAATGGAGGGGGTCTCAAAAACTCTTTATTTTATATACTTTATTGAATGTATAATTTCTGAGTTTTTCAATGTGCCAGTCTCTCCAAGATAAAATAATCATTTAGAAAAAGTAAGGATAATATTGTACATAAACTTTTAATACTTTTTAAACTTTTAATTGTTGTGGACACTTGATCGTTGTGTATATTGATGGGAACATGTGATATTTTCTTGTAAGGATACCATGTGTAATGACAAAAATCCAGGTAATTGGGATATTCATCTCCTCAAACAGTTACCATTTCTTTGGGTTGGGAACATTCCAGAGCTTCTCTTCCAGCTATTTTGTAATGTACAGTACATTCCTGTTGTGCCCTTGAACGTGTGTTACTGAACACGTCGTGTGCTGCTTGTCCTGTCATCCAGACAGCCTGTGGAGTAGGTCAGTAGCTATGCCCATTTCACGGGTGAGGAGAGCAGAGAGGTTAGTGGTGGCACGTGGTCACACAGCTTGATGACGATGCCCTTAACAAGCATCGATCCTCGTTTTCAATACTGGATTTTGCGCTTCGGCACTTGGCTTCTGCATCTGTAGTGACGCACTGCTGCTGTTTTCTTGCAGGTGACTACCCTGCCCCAAGGGCTGTCCTCACAGGCCACGACCATGAAGTTGTCTGTGTTTCTGTCTGTGCAGAACTCGGACTTGTTATCAGCGGTGCTAAAGGTCAGAAGTCAGTTCTTTCATTTTGAATCCTTAGAAAATGTTCCTTTTTCTCCCACTAACCATGATTTACAATTTATTCCTTCTAGGAGGATCTCTGTAGACAAACATAATCCCTGGGTTCTCTGCAGAGGTTTAGTTTTCTTATTAATGTTTATTAGTACTAATATAAAATATGTATAAAGTTTTGTGTAGTATTTTGTGGTCAGCAGCATTCTAACCAGAACACTGATAAAGTACAGTATATCCATATTGATGCAGCCATTTATGGAATATACCCCTGATGCAGCGAGGACAGGAGGCATCCAGAGACTCATCAGACAAGGCCTGGGGTCCCCTCCCACTCAAGTCCCTTTCTTTGCAAGGCTAGGGCCTGGGTTGGGGTTGGCAGAAAGGAAACAAGATTCCTTGGTTCGTCAGACTTTTTGTGGAAGAAGCGTCATTTCGGGAAGATTCTGGAAATGTAGATTCTGACTCCAGCTTGTGCTCCATGGGAAGCTCTGGGACAGAAAGGAGAAGCAGAAAGCAGACCTTGGCCTGAGGTGTGAGGTGTGGCTAGCACCCACCAGCCTCAAGGAGGGAGAGGCTGGAGGCATGGCAGGGGCCCGGGCACAGGGATTTGTACTTTCCGTTGTATTATGAGTATGGTGGGAAACCAGTGAGACTTCTTCATCAAGGTGATGAGACAGTCAGATTTGGTTATTCTAGAGAATAACCAGAATTACTCACTATCTGTTTACTTCATGGAGGATGGGTGTAATCTGAAGGCAGGGACCATGGTTTTCTTTTCATCTTCATATTAAGAGTAAATAACCCAGAAATGGACACTGAGGATATTTTCAATAAATGTTGAAAATAAATAGTAAATAGTAAATAGTTACTATTTTTAAAAATTTTAATTTTTTTTTAAATCATAACAATATGTGTAATATTATTCTATCCTGTAAAGTTTTTACGAAAAGGAAAGAAGTGACTTGTGGTAGGCACAGAGAAGAAGCATTACTTTTCTCTAGGTAGTAGGCTATGTTAGAGGCAATTGCTGGTTTTTCCTTCATTGTCTATAGTACACATCTATTATTTCAGTAATTGGGAAAAAAATTTAGGTATGTAATTCCACTTATCTTGCAAAATATGTGTGCATTCAAATCTATTGATTGAAAAATTAAAATGTAATTCACCTACTGTTTTTGTGGGAGTCTTTTTCAGGCATATGAGTGGATATATAATACCAAACTATATTAACCAATTATTTCTATGAGTTTTTTTAGTCTTATCAACACCATTTCTATAAGGGCAAGAAAAAAGAAAGAAAGAAAAAAAAACTGGGGTGAATTAAGTCACTCCTCATACTACTTTTGTATTCTTGCCTCACTATTCGTTTACTTAAAAGATAAAGCATATTTCTATACTCTGAGTTACTTAATTTTGTTTTTACATTTTATGTATAGACTACAGAAAAAGGTAAAATATATTTGAGAGTCATGCATTTATGTGGTACAGTGGTTACATGTTAATGCCACTAGAGAAATTTGACTGTTCTGATAATTTTTTGAACTTTTGAGAAAATTTTCTAAAAGCGCATTAAAAGAGAAGTTCTGGGACATAGAGTATTTTATTCTCACATAATCTGTTGCTAGATTCTTTTATTTAAAACACTGTAGGCCGGGCACGGTGGCTTATGCCTGTATTCCCAGCACCTTGGGCGGCAGAGGCGAGAGAATTGTCTGAGCCCAGGGGTTCAAGACCAGCCTGGGCAACTTGGGAGACCTCATCTCTACAGTAAACTTAAAAATCAGTCAGGCGTGGTAGTGCACGCCTAGAGTCCCAGCTACTTGAAAAGCTGAGGTGGAAGGACCATCTGAGCCCAGGAGGTCAAGGTTGTGGTAACCATGAGCGTGCCACTGCACTTCAGCCTGGGTGACAGAGTGAGACTCCTCTCAAAAATAAAGAAATAACTAAAAATACTGTATGATGGAGGAAAAGACCAAGTATTTACCTGGTTACAAAATGTGCAGTCTACGTATGTGGGTTGGGTAGCCCTGACTCTGCATTTGCTGTGTTTAAAAGCATCATCCATGCTTGGCTCTGGCCCGTGTACCTCCTTCCCTCTCTGTCTTCCTCCAATGCTCCTTGCACATGCCCCAGCAAGGTTTCCAGGTGGGTGCAGCTGATGTGGGGTTTGCTGTTACCAACTGACCCTGCCACTGGTGTCCCCACTCTGCAGAGGGCCCTTGCCTTGTCCACACCATCACTGGAGACTTGCTGAGAGCCCTGGAAGGACCTGAAAACTGCTTATTCCCACGCCTGATCTCGGTCTCCAGCGAAGGCCACTGTATCATATACTATGAACGAGGGCGATTCAGCAATTTCAGCATCAATGGGAAACTTTTGGCTCAGATGGAGATCAATGATTCAACACGGGTAAATCTGCATATTTGATGCTAAGTAGGACTGAAGCCAAGAGATTAAAGGTTGATTGTTTTACATGAAATGGTTCATAATGGAATTTCTGTGGCATCCAGATAAATGTGTTCTGGTTTAAAAGCAAATAAGTTTATGTAGACTGACTTTTTTAACAAACCCAAAGTTCATTTAATCCTAAGTAATTAACTCAGAGAATTAGACTTCAGAAATGATAGCTGTTGTTTGATTAGAGGTTAAATCCTTAAGGAGGTTTTTTTTAAGCTCCTTTTACAAATAATTGTTTCAAGCCAGGCATGTGGCTCACACCTATAATTCCAGCACTTTGGGAGGTTGAAGAGAAAGGATTGCTTGAGCCCAGGAGTTCAGACCAGCCTGAGCAGCATAACAAGACCTCATCTCTAGAGAAAATTGGCCAAATGTAGTCACACACGCCAGTCGTCCCAGCTACTCCTAGACATGCTGCGGTGAGCCCTGTTTGTGCCACTGCACTCTAGCCTGCGCTGCTGAGTGAAACCTCGACTCAAAAAAACAAAAACAAACAATTGTTTCAGTGCTGTACCCTCACAATATTGAAAGTGAGTTTGTTGACAAAGATTCCTATCTTCAGAACCTTAAACCAAAATCACATGTGGCCAATTGCCCTTCATCACAAATGAATTACAATTGCTGCTGGCTTATCATTATTTTAAAAAATTTTGAAATATGCTTCTGCCATTTGAGCTTAAGGTCTCAACATGGATCACATTCAGGACTTAACAAAACATCATGTTACTTATTCTCAAGTTCTTCCTGTATTAAGTTGGTAATATCCTCTTGGGACTTCTGTAATGGTATAACTTAAATTGGTTTTAGTAAGATTCTTTGTATGTATAAGAACTTCAGTGAATTCCACAATGGAAATTCCATGGATTGGACTTTAGAAAACTTAGACAAATGACTCAGAGTGGTGCCATGTTTTTGTAGCAGTTTTATATTACAGTTATAAGGGAACTGCTCTGGCTGCTGTTCAGTCGTGACAGTAAGCTGTTTCAGAAAAATAGTGGAGAGACATGATCACTTCTTTGCATTCTCTGAAGGCCATTCTCCTGAGCAGCGACGGCCAGAACCTGGTGACGGGAGGGGACAACGGCGTGGTGGAGGTCTGGCAGGCCTGTGACTTCAAGCAGCTGTACATTTACCCCGGATGTGATGCTGGCATTAGAGCAATGGACTTATCCCATGACCAGAGGTGAGCCGGTCGGGGCAGATACAGTCACTGACCGTCACCGACGGCACCCTTCCGTCGGCCAAGGGCGACTGGCACTGTGGACGAGACTCCAGCATCCAGATGAAAAGAGAGTAGCAGAGAACAGGGTAAAATGGGAGAGGAGTAAGTACTCCCAGAAAGGATTCTGGAAGGAAGGAAGTAGAGGAAGGTGAGGGCGAAAGAGAAGTGGGTCTGAAGAGCAGGCACATCCAGACATGCTGTAAGGGCCCAGGGCACGGTATTCAAACCTCCAGCCTCGTCTCAGACAGGCCTCCCGCTTACGTCATGGTCGGCAGAGGCAGGTGTTAGCGTGAGGCCTTCTCATATTCAGCCAGCACAGTACGAACGCCTCCCCCCCCCGCCGCACACACGAGGCACCCACTTATTGTGAGCATATTTACCCCGTTTTCTTACTTGCCTGTTTCTCATTTGTTATTTTGTTTTATTTTATGCATTTCCCTAAAACGCTTTAAATCTTTCTTAGAAAGAGTTGATGTGAATGTTAGTTAATTAATGTGACTTTCCATTGTTCTTTAGTTTGCAAATGGATTTCATTATTTCCTAAATTTTACTTTGGGGTTTTTTTTTTTAAGAAGGTGAAAAATACATTAGGAATACGAAATCAAAAGTTTCTAAGCCACTAAAATAAACTGTAACTGGCTGGGCACAGTGGCTCACGCCTGTAACCCCAGTTTTTTGGAAGGCTGAGGTGGGAGGATTGCTTGAGTTCAGGTGTTCAAGACCAGCCAAGGCAACATAATGAGGCCTCGTCTCTACAAAAGTCAAAAAAAATTAGCCAGGCATGGCGGCACATACCTGTAGTCCCAGCTACTCGAGAGGCTGAGTTGGAAGGATAGCCTGAGCCCAGGAGGCTGGGGTTGTGGTAAGCAGTGATCATGCAACTGCACTCCAGCCTGGGCTACAAAGTAAGAACTTGTCTTAAAAAAATAAACTTTAACCCTACAATCTTACTATGGCATGTAATCTCATGGCATATTTATTTCTTCAGCTATATTAATATTTCTTATAAGAATATTGGTTTTACAATATGATTAATATTAAGACATATAATAAAGTTAACTAAGCATCTTCACAGGTGCTCTAACTTCGCCTGGAGAAGAATGTTTGTTCTGCAGCCCAGACTGCTTTCAAAGTTTAAGGTTATTATGAGAGTGTTTCAAAGTGCTGCAGGCCATACTTGGGAGCAAATGGGAGTGGTTCACTGCACCGTAATTACTTGAATATACACTGGTGTTTCTGAAGGGTTTGAAATAACGCCCATTCTTCAGTAGTGGAACTATTCTTCCTGATATTCATTTGCGCATTCATGTTGCTGCCATGGTCACAGGTTGAGTTCTCGGTGAGGTGCTGAGGGTATGTGACAGGATTACTGACCCCAAAGGGCTCAAATCTCGTGACCACTTGTATACGACGAGGGCAGCAGAAACAGACGGGGAAGGAGGAAGTGACAGGCTCTTCCCAAGGGCTAGGGGTATCATCCTCAGGTGCTCCTCAGCTCGCTGGCGTGGGCCCTCGGGGGGAATTCAGTCCTCAGTGGTATCAGGTCACCACACAGAGGGAGGAGAGATGCTGATGACATTCCGACTTTTATTTTAATTTCATCCTTAGTTTTGATGACTCTTGGTTTCTCAGAATGAACAGTGCATGCATATGTTGTAAGGTTTTGATAGCCAGAGTCTCAGAGTGCAGTGGCACAATCACAGCTCACCACAGCTTCAGCCACTTGGGCTCAGGCGATCCTCCCGCCTCAGCCTCCCAAGTTGCTGGGACCACAGGTGTGTGCCACCACACCTGGCTTTTTTTTTTTTTTTTTTTTTTTTTGTACAGACAAGGTCTCACTATGTTGCCCAGGCTGGTCTCAAAATCCTGGGCCCAAACGATCTTCCCGCCTTGGCATCCCAAAGTGCTGGGATGACAGGCATGAGCCGCCATGCCCAGCCCTGTGTCATAAACCGATGAGCAAATATTGGGGATATAGACTCAAAAAATATTTAGCCAATGACGTATCTAATCAAAAGTGAAGCAACACTTGGTATAGAAGAGAGTGAAACCTTAGTTCAGTTGATAGCCATGAGGCCAGGAAGGAACATTCTCGAGAAAGAAGTCCCAGGGCTGGATGGCTGATGACTGAGGAGGAGGAGACAAGGGCAACCCATCCAGCAAGAGGCCAGCGGGGTTAGGAGGTGGCAGTGGTCCAGGGCCTGGCGGGAGCCTGCACATAGGGGTGTCATTGCACACACGTACAAGGAGATTTGGCAAGTGAGGGTGGGCGGGCTGGAGTGGCCCAAGGAGACCAAGAAAAGAAAAGTCAGCAAAGAGGAGGAAAAGCCAGGACTCCCCGGAGGAGCCCACAGACATCCACAGGAGGCGATGGACAGGCACCCGAGTGGCAGCTAGCGGCCAGGGGCCCAGTGCAGCCTGAAACGCAGTTGGGGAGGGGCGGGCTCCTTTCTTCCCGCAGGGCTGTAGACCCAGGCAGGTGTGAGCCTCCCTGGGCCTCTCAGGGGAGCAGACTTTTTGATCCTTCCTCGAAGGACACAAAATTCAGACCTGCGAACCCTGAGGTCCTGGTGTTGTCTAATGTAAAACAGCATGCACGTACGTGACTTTGTGTCACTCTTAACTGCTATCTCTGCTTTTCCAGGACTCTGATCACGGGCATGGCCTCTGGTAGCATCGTAGCCTTTAATATAGATTTTAATCGGTGGCACTATGAGCATCAGAACAGATACTGAAGGCGGAGACCCGAGCGCCAGGCTGAGGGGAGAGCACGCGCGCTGCACGCAAGGCCCTATTTCAGCAGAAACCGTCTGCATCGGCCCGTCTCTACATCCCATCACACCCAGCAGTAGCTGTCCATGGTAGTCAGCAACCATTTTCCTTTGTGTGTTTTTTCACGACGGAACACCAGCTGCTGTCAAGCAAGCTTCTATCATGTAAATTATATGAATTAGGAGATGTTTTGGTAATTATTTCATATCTTGTTGTTTATTGAGAAAAGGTTGTAGGACGAGTCACAAGAGACTTTTGACAATTCTGAGGAACTTTGTGTCCAGTTGTTACAAAGTTTAAGCTTTGAACCTAACCTGCATCCCATTTCCAGCCTCTTTTCAAGCTGAGAAAAAAAAAAAACACGTTTGATACTTTGTACATCAGATGCATCTTATTTAAAAGGGATACTTTTGTAAAAGTAAAACCTTGTATAAAGAACAAAACGTTTCTTAATTTTATTGTGGAGTTACAACTTGCATGTTCTTTACTCCTGATGGAACAGGTGCATTCACACTATGAAACAGAAAGATCTGTCCAAGAACACAGCTTGTAGGAGAGGGTTGAATTTGGGCTCAATCAGTAATTTTTGACATTTTCACCAAAATATGGTTTGCACTTTTTCATCTAAATTCATCCCTTCTAAGTGAAATTTGTGCACTAAGCATTTGGATACTAAGCCATTCTTTGCCGTTTGGGGTACTTTATACAAAGAAAAAAGTCAGCCCTACTCTTTCTAACGTGAAGGCACAGCAGAAAGGGGGCTTAGGGGTGAGGTCCTGTTTACCTTGTCTCAATAGGAGTCATGTGTTCATAGTGACGACTTCCCGGCACCTGGACACCTCTTCCAGAATCATCCTGCTGGCTTAGTGTGTATACCTTAGGGGCAGAGAAGCTGAAGCTAACTTACTTTTTTCCCTCTTTGGTTCTTGAATAGCTTAGTTTCTTTAATAACAAGTCGAACTTGATTACAACAGTAACTGAAGTTCTTTTAGGTTCTTGTGAAATTCTCACCTAAAACCACAGTCTTAGCCTAAGGCATTTCATCTTTTCTGATCTAAAACGATGGCTGTCAAATGATTTTCCACACATTGTACCGATCAAGTTACATGCCCAGGGGTATATATGCTTTCTTCATGTTTCTTCTTTGTATCTTTGGTGACTGTATCGTCCTAGATGTACATATTGTGTCAGTAGGGCTATGAGGCATGTTACAGGAATGTAATTTTCTCTGAATTTACACTCACTTGCAGTCATTTATTTAAAACGATAAAACAAGATAATGGGTTCTTTGTATTGGCACTTTGCACCAGAAACATATCATTATTTATTGATGTGATTACTTCTGTTATCCACCTTGTACTGGTAAGTTTTAGCACTGAATTCCTTCTTCATTGTTGTTTGTATTTATGAAATTCTGAAATTACGGGGAATCGGCGTAACGATTAAGTTATTCATCGCAGGCTGTAAGCAATATCTTGAGTTTGTAGCTTAGAATTGGGAGGACACTGAGCATCTGGAAGACGAGTTCATTTCATCTTGAGATCTTGGTGAAACATTTCGGGTCTATAAATTCCTTAAGCTATCGTAACCATGTTTTATTGCAAAGATGTAAAATATGCCAGATGTGTGTGAGTTGGAAATCAAAACGCGAAAAATAAAATATGCAAAGAATTCACTGAGCGTTTCGCGTTTCCTCGGACACCCCACTAACACACATCCACCCTGCTGTTGCTCAGGTTTAAGAAGTTGCCGTCAGCCGGCTGGATGGCCCGGCCTGTCATCCTAGCCCTTGGGGAGGCCCCAGGTGAGCGGGTTGCCTGAGCCCAAGGGTTCGCTACCTGCCCGGGCAACTTGCCAAGACCTTGTCTCTACAATACATCAAAAATTAGCCGGGCGTGGTAGCGCACGCCTAGAATTCTGGCTGCTTGGAAGACTGAGGCAGAAGATCGCGGGAGCCCCGTGGGTTGACACAGGTGGCCGTGAGCGGGTGTGCCACTGCACTCCTGCCTGGGCGACGGCGTGAGACTCCCACTCAAAAAAAAAAAAGTCACCATCACCCAGTAGAGACACGCAGCCTTGTCCTAATGGGGGTCGTCAATCTGCAGAAACACAAGCTGCTCTGCCTGACCATCTGGCTGGGATCTGGGCAAGAGGGACTGGAGGAAATAGCTCTCATTATTGGCTCTGCACCATTCACTTTTGGACTCGTTGTATTTCAAGGGGGTGACACGGTGAAGGGTGTAGTAACTCCTGCTATGTGCGTTAGCCAATGAGGCTGTTTTCATCCAAAACCACTTCCTAGATTCACCACCCACCAGGTGTGGCACAGGCAGGGCCCGAGGACCTGGAGGACCCCGCAGTTCCTGAGGGCTCAGAGGGCTCCGGTCACACAGATCAGTCACCCAGACAGGCCCGGGGTGGCGTTGCAAGTGACACTTCGTTCTCATTCCCAAGACAAAAGGGACAGACCCAGAGGACGGTTTGCTAGCCTCGCTCTCCATGCCATCCCCAAGCCAGAAACCCGCCACAATCACAGCCCTGCCGGCCCGGCCTCCACCCGCCCTCACGGCAGCACACCGTTGCCACAGCAGGGTGGTCACTACCCGAAATGCCTTTCGAAACTGCCCCTCCTTCCTGCCGCCATCATCTGGATCATCCCAAAGCCTCCTGACCTCTGGCCTGTCTCCCCTCCACACAACACCTTGCTGCCACCCATCCAGTCACGCCCTTGCCCCCCCACCTCGCAAAGCCAAGCCGAGGGCTCAATGATCTTAAGTTCCAGGGGGCGAAATAAACTTATTTATTTATTTATTTAGTTGTTTTTTGAGTTGGAGTCTCACCCTGTCACCCAGACTGCAGTGCGGTGGCCCAGTCACAGTCACCGCAGCCTCAACCTCCCGGCCCATGCAATCCTCCCACCACCACACCACACCACCTGGCTCATCTTTTGTAGAGAAGAGGTCTCGCCGTGTTGCGCAGACTGGTCTCAGACTCCCGGGCTCACGCAGTTCTCCCACCTCCATCTCCCGAAGTGCTGGGGTTACAGGCCTGAGCCACCATGCCCAGCCCGTGGAGCTTACTTTTAAAGGCAGAATCTGGGGTCCCAGGCCCCGCGACGATCTGGCATGAGTGATTCTAGGACACATTTTGAACAACACTGATTGGAGGGATAAAGTACCAAGGAGAGCAAAGAAGTCCTTCAGGAGGGACACAGTCCCATCTGCCATCCCCCGAGGCGACCCCCACCCAGGCCAAGGTGGACCCCCACTCCACCTCTCTGCAAGTCCCTGAGAATTTCCCGCACCTGAGTCCCTGGTGTTCTTCCTGGTTAGGGGGCTCCTCTGTCGGCACCCTGGCATAGTCCTTGCTGCCCAGTGGCCTAAACCAATGTGGTCCCGAACAGTTTTGCCAGGTCAAGTTAGCCCCCAAAACCCTACACCTTCGCTCTATTATGATGGTGAAAACAGCTTCAAGGACCAGTTTCTGCCATGTGTAGAGAAAGTTTAGCAAGCAGGCACTCACACAACTCTTCTGTGAGTTCCATGAAGTCCAGGGTTCTGTTCTTTTGAGTGATCCAACAACCATTTCACAAATATTCTAGAAGCAGGATCCCACGAGCCTTGAATGGCATCAGCAGCTGGAATCTTCCAACTCAGCCATGAGACACCAAGCCTTGGGCACCACCCTAAAAATGCAGACTAAGGGTCTCAGAAGCATCTTCACCTGGTTACGGAAGGACAGGAAAGTCTGTCAAAGACTTCAGCCAGTGTATGTTAAACTCATGTATATACATTCAGGCCACTAATGTCATCAACAAAAGATGGTCATCTGTGACACTAATGAAGAAGCCAATGAAAAGCCATCCCTAAGCATTTACTATCCTAACTCAAAAGGCTTCGGGCTTCTGGGATTGGGAAGCTGGGACACTGGTCCCTGACCTTGGAATGAGACTTTGCTGATTAGATGACCTGGAGTGCCAATTTCTGACAGGGCCACTGACTGTCCCTAGAATGCAGTACATATTGACATGCTGTATGCCCATCTAGATATTTTAAAGTAAATGACATCATAACTCTCATTCCCGCGACTCAGTCCCACGCTGCCTCTGCTGGGAAGCCTTCCCTGACTGCTGGGTTAGCGTCCCCACCTCTGGTGGGCTCCAGCCCAGAACGGAGCAGTGTGCTGTCATAACTTACTTGTCTCTCCTCCCCCGAGACTGTGAGCTTCCTGGGCCAAGGACCGCTTTCATCTTGTGTCCTTAAGACAGTGCTGGACTCGGAGTCGATTCAACAAAGGTAACTTGTGGGATGGATAGATAACCGCATGAATACCAGGGCTGGCCAGGGTGATCAGGAGTCCCCAAGCCCCCCTTCCTGTCGCCCCAGCACCCGCTGCCTCATGTTGCCCTCTCCAACCCCGAGCCTTCTGCTCCCATGACTGACTCAATCACGGGCCTTTTCCACCAAGGGCTCCCAAAAAGCGACACACGAGGGAGTATTTCAACTGTTAAGCCGGGTGCCGGTGGCTCACACTTGTGATCCCAGCACCTTGGGAGGCAGAGGCGAGAGGATTGCCTGAGCTCATGGGTTCGAGACTAGTCTGGGCAATAATAGCAAGACCTCGTCTCTACAATAAATAAAATTTTAAAAACTAGCCAGGCATGGTGGTGTGCACCTGTAGTTCCAGCAACCTGGAAGGCTGAGGAGGAAGGATCACCAGAGCCCAGCAGTTCAAGGCTGCAGTGGCCGGGAGCATGCCACTGCACTCCAGCCTGGGCAGCAGAGTGAGACTCTGACTCAAAAAAAAAAAATCGGGGACTGCTAGCAATCATGTTCTCCATTGTAGAGAAGGCCTGTTTGTGAGAATAACACCACAAGAAACTGAGAGGACACGCGTGCCTTTATGCCAACCATAAGTCCCTGGGGACCTAAATCACCTCCTACGTACAGGTGTCCTAATTCCAGATGTTGTTTTAGTCTATGACCAACAAACACTTTTCTCTCTTAAGTTGGCCAAAGCTGTATTTTTTAAAATACTTGAGATGAAATCAGAGAGCCCTGAAGTGACACCATTTCCTGTCCCAGTTCTCCACCCCTGCTAAGAAAAATGTGACTCGATCCACATATGCCAGGAAAGCATATTCCTAGTGTCTGTGGGACTCAGTAACCCCAAGTTTAGGTACAGATCTAAAAGAAATGCTCGCTCCATCCATCAACAGACATGGGGGGAAAATGTTTTCAGCAACTTTGTTTCTGATCACCAGATACAGATGCTGAGTTTAAAAATCCAGACACAAGGCTAGGCATGGTGGCTCAGGTCTGTAATTCCAGCACTTGGGAGACTGAGGCTGGAGAATTGTTTGAGCCCAGGAGTTTGAGACCAGCCTGGGCATCATAGCAAGACCCCCATCTCTATTTTAAAACACCAGAGAGATATCAAAACAGTGGTTACTTTTGACCAGAGGTAGTGACGGGTCAGGGCCATTACGGGGGCTTTGGGAACACAAATTCTAATCTCAGTTCTGTCTAAGAGCTGAGGGTGTCACAAAGGTGGTGGGGTCACTCTTTGAACATTCATTGATCTGTGCAGTGATGATGTGTATGTCAAAAGGTGTACTTTTGACCGGGTGTGATGACTCATGCCTGTAATCCCAGCACTTTGAGAGGCAGAGGTGAGAGGATTGCCTGAGCCCATAGGTTTGAGACCAGCCCAGTCAACATGGAGAGACCTTGTCTCTACAACAACAAGAAAAAGTAGCCAGCACCGCCTGTGTTCCCAGCTACTTGGAAGGTTGAGGTGGAAGGATCGCCTGAAACCAGCAGGTCAAGACTGCAGTGGTCATGAGCATGCCACTGCACTCCAACCTGGACAACACAGTAAGACTCTCACTCAAAAATCAAACAAAAAAAGCATACTTTTAAAAATTAAAAACATGTCCTGTCTCACATTGGCTCTTGTCATCGTGCTGAATTTGTCGACCCACCACCTGAATCTGTGACCCCTGTCCTCACCTGTCCCGTCCCTGTGGTTTTTAGGTCAGCCATCTCGGTACCCTGCCCTGATGAGCTCTTTTCTTCTTCTGATCAGGTTCCAGTGCTTCCTCCTCCATGAAGGCACCCCTCCACTGGCCAGCAGGTGCCTGGCTCTCCATGAGCAGGTGCTTGTGGGCAATCCTTCTCTAGCATCTACCTTAGTGTGTTTGGGTAGCTTTAAAAAAATACCTGGGACTGAGTAATATGTAAACAACAGAAACGTATGGTTTGTGGTTCTGGAGGCCAGGCAGCCCAAGATCAAGGCACCAGCAGATTTGGTGTTTGGTAAAGGTTCATTCTTCATAGATGCTGTCTTTTTCTTTATTTTCTGAGTCCAGGTCTCACTCTGTCACCCAGACTGAAGTGCAGTGGCATGATCGTGGCTCACTGCAGCCTCGACTTCCTGGGCTCAGATAATCCTTCTACTTCAGCATCCCATATACCGGGGACTACAGGCATGTGCCACGCCACCTGGCTTATTCATTGTAGAGATGAGGCCTCGTTATGTTTCCCAGGCTGATCTGGACCTCCTGGGCTCAAGCAATTGCTGCAGCCTCCCAAAGTGCTGGGATTACAGGTGCGAGTCACCGTGCTCAGCCCCATAGTTGGTGTCTTCTATGTCCCTCATGAAAGAATAGACAAAC